ATATACGAAACAGCAATTTTTCAAAGCAGTGCACATTGGGCTATGAAAGACAGTGAACTCTGGAAGACGGGAAACAAACAAACCCCAACTGCTCTCTTGCTTTCTGCACCTAGTGCAGCGGTTCTCAACCTGTGGGTCATGACCCCTTTGGGGGTCGAACGACCCTTTCACAGGGGTCGCCTAAGACCATCGGAAAACACATATATAATTACATATTATTTTTGTGATTAATCACTATTCTTTAATTATGTTCAATTTGTAACAATGAAATTGGGGGTCACCACAACATGAGGAACTGTATTAAAGGGTCGCGGCATTAGGAAGGTTGAGAACCAATGATCTAGAGTTTCCAGGCTGCGGAGCAGGTGCCCTGAGCTGAGGATCAAGTCAGCAAGACGAAGCCCAGAGGGGAGAGATGCAGCCAGAGTGGAGCTTGGATATGTGCAAAGAGACCTCAAGGGTATTCAGCAGAGCACTGACAAGCACAAATGTGTGAGGAAAATAGCTGAGGCCAGAGAAAGAACCACCAAAAAAGTTTAGACAATAGTGTCTGGTGCTCACACAGGGCCTGGAATGGCACCTTCCCATTAGCCAGATTAGAAAACCACAGGACAGTGGGTATATTCAGGAAGGTTTTGCCTCAGTAGTAGGGGCAGTTAGCCCTAGACAAAATACTGCTCTAGTCTTACCTAACAAATCTTAAAAGCAAAACTTTAAAAGATCTAACAGTTTCCAATAATTTATGTTTGGAACAAAGCTGGAAAACATTTATAGGAATACAAAAATACCACAGGAGTCAAAATTCACAATGTCAGATACCCAATCAAAGATGATCAGACATGCAAAGGAAAATACAACCCTTATAGGGGAGAAATTCAATCTGTCAAAAGCAACCAGAATTGACAGAGATGACAGAATTGCAGGCCAGGAATTCTATAAAACAGGTATTACAATTATATTCTATGTGTTCAAAAGTTAAGTAGAGACAGAAAAGATACTATAATGTCTCAAATTGAACACCTAAAGAGTAAAACAACTCATGACTTGAAAATTACACCAAATGATATTAATAGCAGATTAGACACTGCAGAAGCTTAATGAACTTGAAGAAATGGATAACCTAAGTAGTTCTATTATCTACTGAAGAAATTTGTAGTTTAAAATCTTTCCACAAAGAAAGCCAAGATGGCTTCACTGGGAAATTCTCTCAAATATTTAAGGAAGAAATAACTCCAATTCTATAAAATTATTCTAGAAAATCAAAAGGAGGGACCATTTCCAACTCATTTATGAGGCCAGCATTACTCTGATATCAAAACTAAAGACATTATAAGAATAGAAAACAACACACCAATATCCTTTGGTATCACAGATGCAAAAATTAACAAAATGTTAGCAAACTGAATCCAACAATACATGAAAATGATAATACCTCATGACCAAGTAGGATTTATCCCAGGAATACAAGATTGGTTTAACATTTGAAAAATCAATAATGTATATGAGCATAACCAATGGACACAGTAGGGAGGCGAGGGCATGTGCTGGGGGGTGGGAGTGGCTGGGGAGAGGTCAATCAAGGAGACTCATGTAATACTTTAAACAATAAAGATTTAAATTTAAAAAAATCAATAACGTCATAAATGAAAAAAAACAACAAAAATTATCTGAACACCTCAATAGTTGCAGAATTTGTCAATCTCCAACATGTATTTCTGATAAAAATTCTCAGCAAACTAGGAATAGAAAGGACCTTCTTCAACCTAATAATGGCTATTTTAAAAAACCCACAGTTAACATACTCACTGATGAAAGACTGAACACTTTCCTCCTAAGATCAGGAACAAGACAGGGATGTCTGCTTTTTTCCAATTCTCTTAACCATACTAGAGGTTCTAAATGGTGCCATGAGGCAAGAAAAGGAAATAAAAGGTACGCAGATTAGGAAGAAGTAAAACTATCTCTATTTACAGATGACATGATTGTCTATGTAAAAAATCTGATGAGATCTACAAAAAATTACTAGCTATAAGTAAGGTTAGCAAGATAGCAGTATACAAGATCAATATATAAAAATCATTTGTATTTCTACATACTAGCAAGAACCAGAAATTGAAATCATGCCACCATTTATAACACATTAAATACATAAAATAAGGAATCAATTTCACGTAAGATATACAAGACCTGTACACTGCAACTAGAAAACATTGCTGAAATTAAGGAAGACCTAAATAGAGAGCTGTCCGTTGTGACCAATTGGCAGACTCCGCATTGTCAAGACATCAGAATCAATTCTTCCCACGCATATCTATAAATCAACATATACCCAATCAAAATTCTAGTAGGCTTTATGGTAGAAATTGATGAACAGATTCTAAAATTCATATGGAAATACAAGAGATCTGGAATAATCAAAACAACTTTGAAAAAGGATAAATTTGGAGGGCCAACGTTCCTAATTTTGAGACTCATTATACCCAAACATACATCGACAATGATTTTTGACAAAGGAGCAAAGGCAGTTCAATGGGGGAAAGGACTCTTCAATAGCAGGGGTGGGGAACCTTTTTTTTGCCAAGAGCCATTTGGATATTTATAACATCATTCTCAGGCCATACAAAATTCTCAACTTAAAAATTAGCCTGCTATATTTGGTCAAATATTTCATTAACTTACCCCTAATGCCTTGGGAGGGCCAGACCAAATTATTTTGTGGGTCTTACATGGCCCTCAGGTTGGACATTCCCCACCCCTGAACAGGGAAGACATTTAATTTAGATTTATAACTCACAACACATACAAAAACTCACCCAAAACAGATTATAGACCTAAATGTAAAACCTAAATTCCTAAAATGTCTAGAAAGAAATACAAGATAAAATCTTTATGATCTTATAGTTTAGGCAAAGTTTCTAAGATCGATACTAAAAGCACAATCCATAAAAGACAAAACTAATACATAGACTTCTTCAAAATTTAAAACTTGTTTTCTGAAAGACATAATTGAGAAAATCAAAGGAAAAGTTGTGTGTGGGGGGAGCAGAAGGGTAGTGAATGGTAAAGGGGGTCAAATATATGGTGACAGAAGGATATTTGACTTTGAGTGGTAAACATGCAATGCAATATACAGATGATGTATTATAGACTTGTACAAAAAAAAAGGACAAGCTGCACTATTTGCAAGGCAAATATCCAGTATAGGACTTGTACCGAGAATACATAATAAACTCAAACAGAACATATAACAAACTCATACAAAATAAGCAACCCCATAAAATATGAGCAAAAGATCTGAACACAAACTTTATTTAAAGAAGGTATAGAGAATGCGAATGGTCACCTAAAAAGATGTTTAGTATCACTAGGGAAATACAAATTTAAATCACGATGAAATTGTACTACATACCCACTGGAATAGCTAAAATGGAAAAGAAAGACAATACCAAATGTTGGCAAGGATGTGGAACAACTTGAACTCTCATACACTGCTGCTAAATATGCAAAATGCTATAGCCATTTTGAAAAATAGGAAATGTCTTATAAAGTTATATATACACTTTCCACATTACTCTGACAACTTATAGATATTTACCCAAGGGGAATGAGAATATGTTCACACAACAACTTATTCATTAATGTTCACAACAGCTTTATTCATAATAACCAAAAATTGGAAACCCAAATGAGCATTAGCTGGTGAAAGGGTAATCTTTGTGGTATCCCTACCACACAGCAACAAAGAAACAATTTACTGCCACAGTATCCATGAATCTCACCCGCATCATCCTAAGTGAAAGAAGCCAGGTATAAAAGATTGCGAAATTCATGGTTCCAGTTAGATGAGATTCTAGAAATGGCAAAATATACGGACAGAAAGCAAATCAGTGATTGCCAAGGACTGGAAATCAGGGAAGAGGACTGAATGCAAAGGGGCCTCAGGAAACTTTTTGGAGGGATGGAAATTGTCTATCTTGTGATTGTGGTGGTGGTTATACAATTGTATACATTTGTTAACACTCACTGAAGTACATAGTATATGAAAATATACATTTAAAAAGTTAACTAAAGCATATAATAATCTCACACAAATTTAAGACAAAGAAGGAACCATCAAACTGTCAAAAGTAATCTTCTTTGGGTGGCGGGAACATGGGTAGTTTTAATTTTCTTCTTGGCACTTTTTTGTGGTTTTCTTATTTTTTTATAATCAGTTGTGTAAACAAAAACTTTTAAAATTCATGCCTCTTAATAGGAATTGTGATATCATATTGCTACCCAAAATGTAGATATTAGACTACTTAACAAATGTTATTCTTTAAAAACAAGATACAGTATCAGAAAAACCAGCCTACTTGTAAATATCCAAATAGTAAAATTACTTTCCATCATTTTTCTTATGTTAGAAATAGAACAGCATTACTTTAAAATGTAACAAAATTTATTTGCATGTTTTAATATCAGCAAGTAATCACAAAACACAATGAAGTAGGGGGGAAAATCTATTAACAAGTGAAGCTATAATAAGAGTCTTCTATATAACATAATAGAATTATAACATTAATTTGCTGCATATTTGGAAAATGTTAAGTCACGTGGCTCTTAAAAACACATCTCTCTCCTGTAATGGGATAACTTTAAATATCTTTCTAGGAGCTTAAGCCTGAAAATAAGATAAAAAATCTCACCACCACCAAAAAATGAGAACATTCATTGATCTAGGACATGCTGTCATAGGATTTCTACTGTTCTTGTTGGAGGTAAATAATGCATTTCTATTATTTCCTTCACTGTTGACTCAGAAACAATACCAGGACCACACAATCCAAATCTGCATCACATTTCACTGGAGTTGGGTAGCTGTGTTTGTTTAGACAACTATAAACACCAGGTAAGTGAAAGACAGGAGGCTGGCATCATCATGTCTTACAGTTCTCCCCATCTAAGAAAATTCCAGGACTCTAATAAGCTCAGCTTTGTTGTCATTGGTGGAGCCTTACCTGGTAGAGCTCTTCCAGGTTGTATCTGATGGAGGTACTACCTTGTATGGCTTTCACTGCCTCATGAAGCTTCTGCCAGGTGTCCTGAGTGTAGTTATCAGGCAACTTGGGTCTGTCTGTAAATCCAGATAGTCAGTGGTGAATGAAATTCATGCTAACAGTCACACATCTTTCCAAAAATGGTCTACAAAAACGTACTTTAAGAAACACAGAAATTAGCTTTTTTCTCATACAAAGTATTGTATTTATAAATGTGTTACATTACAGACTCTGCAACCACAGTACATTCGTTTTGCTAAATACACTTCATATTAATATTTAGGGTAAATACACAGAAAACACAAGGTGGGCAAAGTAGGTTTCCGGTTGTGAGTATGCAAAAAACAACCGATTCTTGTATGACTAATTATCAACTATTGTATTTGTTATTGTGTTATTTATCTGTGAACCTACTTTTGCCCGTCCCTGGATGCAAGTCTTTTTACTTAAGTTGACTTTATACATGTAGAAACGTGTAAGAGTTAAACTCTGCACAACACGTAAAGTTGCTTTCAAGTACTCAAAGTTGGGAAGCGAAGACGAAGCTTAGAATGACGACATCTGCACCCAAGACGCAGGCTTTGAGAGAGGACCAGTGACAGGGCCGGTGCAAAGCGGAGGAAGTAATGAGAATTACATCCCGAAGGGCTCCAGCGGCTGCTCCTCGTTCTCGCTCGGCCATGCGAATCGAGAGCTGGGTTATTTGGCCTCATTTATTCCATCTGGGAGGCGGCTCCCAGGAAGCTCGGCCCACAGCCCGCGCCGCAGGTCCAGCCGGCAGGGGGGGAGGCCCAGGCCCGCG